ATAGAGATCGAGACCATCCTGGTCAACATGGTGAAACCCCGTCTCTACTAAAAATACAAAAAATTAGCTGGGCATGGTGGCGTGTGCCTGTAGTCCCAGCTACTCAGGAGGCTGAGGCAGGAGAATTGCCTGAACCCAGGAGGCGGAGGTTGCGGTGAGCCGAGATCGCGCCATTGCACTCCAGCCTGGGTAACAAGAGCAAAACCCCGTCTCAAAAAAAAAAAAAAAAAAACAAAAAAAAAAAAACAAAAGCTAAAATATAACAATGCACAGCTGACATAAAATCAGACCTTAATAAAAGCAACTACTAACTAGTTTGCAAAATCTATGTGAAAAATATGTATTATTGATGTTTTCCTATCAAACCAGTGTACTAACCTAAATGTGGAGCCTTTAAGTAGTATCTTAGAAACAAAAAAATTATTGGAGAGCTAGTGTAGAGTTGTTATAGTTAACAAAAATCTCACCACTTCCCAATTCTTCTCTTCTCCCAAATAAGGAGGGGCTAATACAGGTTATCACTCCAAGAACAAGGTCAATATCTTAAATTCATAGAGTACTTTAAAAATTAATATAGTGCTTTCATATATAACTTCTCTTTAATTCCTTCTAGAATCCTTTGAGGTTTTTATTTATTCAATCCAAGCCGCATCCCAAACAGAGTAAACTAATGGGTATTGTCTGATTTAGAGTTGGAAAAATTGAGGCTAAGAGAAGGTTAAAATTACTTGCTTTACTCCACTCGCCAGCTACCCATGTCTACAAGTAATGTATAAATGATCTATCTAAATGTAAATCTGTACAATTAAAATCCTCCAGCATGTCTAAAAAATATTGGTCAAAGGTTGAAAATAGTTATTTCTGGATGGTGGGATTTTAAATGATTTTTAAACTTTATTTTTATAATTTACTACAGTACTAGAATCTTTAAAAATAAGGATGGTTCACTACAAAAACAGTACTGAATATTTATTTCCTTAAACAAACAACCCATCCACTAACCCCTGTTTTAATGGTTCTGCATTAGTGTGGCAGTTGTCAACCAGGACAATTTTGTCCCAAAGTAGACATCTGGCAAAATCTGGAGTCAATTTTGTTTGTTATAACTGGGGTAGTATTATTGGCATCTAATGAGTAGAGACCAGGGATACTGTTTAATACCCTAAAATGCATAGGGGAAACCCCCATGCACATGGATCATTATCTGGTCCAAAATGTCAACAGTGCCAAGGTTGAGAAACGCAGCATTTGAGAAATAAGAAATCCAAGCTCCTAAACATATAAGTCCCTGAACTCCATCTCCAACCTTACCTTCTTGCAATTTTGCCTAACATTTAACTTTTGATTTAGTCCTGAACTTCTCATTAGTCTCACGACATTAGAAAACTGGCTTGCTCTTAGGTCACTTAGTCGGTAGCAGACCTGGAACTCAGTTCCAATTCTCCAGATCCCAATCCAGGGCTCTTCTCAGTGTACAACTATCAAGAAAAAGCCCTCCTGTGAAATGAACTTAAAGTTCTTCAGCTGTCTTCCTTTCTAATCAATGAACAGTTACAGGATGCTTCCTATAGGAGAGGCATATTGCTGGTAAGGAAGGTGTAACGTGAAAAATGAATAAAACACTATGCCAGCTCTTGAGGTATTACAGTCTAATAAAGGTAAATCACACATGGCACTTAGTACCACCAGCCTCTCCCCCATACAGACACACACGTATGTATGCACACAAATATATTTCGAAGACAGAGAAAAATACAACATTTGGGGGAATGATTATGGGTGAGCTGGGGTGTGTGTGGATGTGGATCAGAAAAAGAGGAAGAAAATCTTCTGATTAAGATAATGATGATACTGAGGTGTAAAGATGTGGATGCCTGCACTAGAAAGTGCTCCACCAACACAAACAGTCAATGATAAATTATGTAAAGTGTATGTAAGTGTGGCAAAGCAATCAGACACCTGACACTTCCATCTTCTGAAAACCAAAAGCAATCAGGGAGATGGGGAGGACAAAGAAAAAAGTCACCTCTTTCCCTTCCCAATCGCAAGGATACAGCTTTAATTAAAGTGGGATCTTCAGAAAAATAATCTCCAATGGCCACTGGCTCTGCCTTACATTTTAAAAATAAAAATCAACTGTCTTGGCTGGAAAGCACAATTTCAACTGTCAATTTCTAATATTTTATATGCTCGGCAATCGATATACCCATACCCTTTGTCATCAGGACCACAATTAACTAATTATATTAACAGATAGCAGGATAGAAATGGATTACATATCTATCAAGATTTATGATTCCGAAAATTCAAATAACCACAATGCTGTAAAATATTGTACAATTTAGATACTCAACTTTTAAATCCTTGAGGTTGTTATTCGTCAATACTTGCTTATAATTATGTTTAACAGGAATGATCTTAACTTCCTACATGAAGTAAATTAAGTACTCTGATCATTAATAAAAGATGTAACTGCTTTAATGATTACTCACATTTTTAAAACACTGATGCTGTCATTTTCTATGACTGTGATAATTTGTTAAGTGTTTGAAAAGATTAAGTTAAAAGAACATCAGTTCTGTGACTAGGAGATATATGAATATCAATCAAATGTCAAGGGGAGGGTATGTGAATGCTGAAAATAAGCTCCCGAGACGGGTCTGTAAGGCCCTCTGTCTCACTTGAGAATCACATGAAAATACTAGAGAAAGAAGGCTTCACTAAATTTAAAACTGAGACTCTTAAGTCTATAATCAAGTAAAAAAAAAAAATCATTTTACCTTTTAATGATGACAAATAGAGTTGATATTTGTCTCCACCACATTTTATTCTCTGACAAAGTTCAGGCAGCAGTTTTTTCCACCACAGAGTCTATCTTAGAAAAAAAAGAATAAATTTTATTTTGATGCATTTTATTCTCAGGTTTCAAATGAGAATAAGAAGATTGTGCAGGAAAGCACAGAGCAAAAATATACCATTTTGGTTAAGGCAATTAATTTTGTTATAACACAAGTTATATCAGCAGCCAGTCTTCTGCCTTAATTATAACATAAAAATAAGGTTTGTAACTTGAAAACCCAATAATACATATATTGTACATATGTACCTGGCTATTTTCAAGAAGTAACAGACATATCCCATTACCATCTCTTATGTGACAAGAAGGAAGGAATGAAGAAAAAAAAGAACTAAGGTCCAAAATTCTTCTAATTTCTAAACTAAAAATCATATGGCAGAGAAAATATTTTCCCATCATACACTGTTTCCCAAATCTTCAGGTAATCAACTACTTCATCTCCAAACAAGAGATTTTTAATGATGGTAATATACCATCTCCATATATTTTAACAGCATTTAATAGTACTCAAAACATATAACATAGTAAATATATATGCTCACTGGACCCACACTGCCCTATGAAGTTAGACTAGCATAAATTATAACCATTTTGCAGGAAAGGAAATGAGGTTATCAAATCTGATTATCACTGATCAAGCCTAAAAACATAATCTGAAAAGCATACCCGGTTCTCTTCTTTCAGTTCATGGTTAGCATATGGAATGACTGCCTCTGGGCATCTCTCTAACAATATGTCTATGCACTGTTCATACTCTTTTAAGCGTGTACGACACAGAACATGGACACTGAGGCCAGCAATAGTGTCTTCTGAAAGCGGCTCCAAGAATGGAATAATGGAAGCTATGTCAAATGAAGGACCACATACAAGAGACTATGAATAGAAAAGTGAAATGTTATGAAATGAGGCACCCCAAAAACTAAAACACAACATACAGAATTCAATTTCTTAAGAAAGACTAAACTTCACTTCCCAAAAATAAAATAGAAAGAATGCAATATCAGAGCACATGCATGTGCTCCTTATTTAATAGATCTAAGTAGAATAAAGTATAATATCATTTTGAAACTAACTCTGGTTTGAAGATCTATTTAATAGAAAGCAAACATTTTTAAATAACATGATTTTATTTGCTTTGAGTGGACTGCAAATTAAAACCAATGGAAATTCTTTAGGACCCTATCCTAAGGAAATAATCAACATTGTGGTGAAAGATTCACGTTCAATGATGTTTACCACAAGAGTATTCACAATACTGAAAATTTAGAAGTAATCTACAATGTTAATAAAGGATGAGTAAATACATTATGGCACACTCACATAATGGAACATTACACAGCCATCAAAACTATTTTCAAAGGCTAGTTAATGAAAAAATGCTTATGATAAAATAAGTAAAAAAAATTCAATACAAAATTATATTCTGAACATGACCACTTTTATAAAATCTACATGGGTAAATACACATACAAAAATCCTGTTGGAAGAGCATGGCAATTTGAAACAGCATACTGGATGGGACAACAAAGCCTATTCTTTGTTTTCTTTACACCCGTCCCTGTATTTTCCAAATTTTCTATAATAAGCATGTGCTACATATATATCCAAAATTAAAATTTAACACTTAAGAAAACTGAAGTGATTGTTTAGAACTAATCATTTGTATCGATACCACTTTGTCACATGATGAATGATAGGGAGCAGTATTATCTCAGCATTTACAACTTTACCAATATTTACTTTAAGCAATTAAACTATATATACTACTTTTGATTCTACCGCCAAAATAATCTCCACTTTCCCTTTCTCCAGGATAAAGATGAGATGGTCATGTCCTAATTTTCTTTTCCCTGTATCCTTTCTGCTACAGCATCTTCTGAGACTCACAGGAGAATATGGAATGTAATCTATCCAATCACAGTCAGTGTGATTATTTTATTCCAAATATCTACCAAGGAATGACCAGGAGAATAAGGTTGGTCCCTTTTCTTCCTGCAAGTTTAATAAATTATTCATGTGAATGATTTCCTGACAATCAGATGGCAGAAATGAAATTAGCTGATAATCTCTCACTCAAAGGGTCTCCCAACATGGAAGAAAAGAGATTGTCTCTATATTTAACTCTTCACTAATCCAGATAATGGGGGAGGGGGCAGGGGCAGTAGGAAGGAGCAAGGGATGTATACCAAATCATGACAAAAATGAAACTAGTCATAACTTCTACTATCCATGAACTTTACTTAATTTTATCCATGTAATCAAGAAGCTTGAAAATAAGGCCAGGTGCAGTGGATCACACCTGTAATCCCAGAACTTTGGGAAGCCGAGGTGGGACGACTGCTTGAACCCAGGAGTTCAAGGTTATAGTGAGCCATGATTGCCACAGCACTTCAGTCTGGGCAATAGAGTGAGACTCTGTCTCTTAAAAAAAAAAAAAATTATAAAAGTTTAGGCAAACTACATTTCTCCTAGCAAAGATTCCCAGAAAGAATGTACCCTTTTAAAATATTTTAAAACAAATTTTAAAAGATCACTGAATTATATGTTTTCAAGAAATTAGAAATATGCTTTAAAGCTTTATGAGGGAAAATTTAATAGCACTTATTCCAAGTACAATTTTAAATATGTAATTAGTGTATATGTTCTAGGAAGGCTCCACCTGTCTTGTCTAATGCTGCCCATCGCATCTATAGAACATGCTCAAGCAATATTTGTGAAATGAACAAAATCTGAGGCTAGGCCCTCAGAAGCCTTTGTATCACAATGGCACTAGAGACAAGAGACAAGAAGAATCTTCTTTGGTTATTTTTTTAAGAAGAGCATAAAAAATGCCATCTCTGGGAACACCACAGCCCCACCAGAAGACTGAGTCTAAGCAATATGGCCTCTTCAGCTTCCATCCTCTAAGCCCCCTTCCCAATTTGACATTAAGTAACAACCACCCTTATACCAGTTCCCATAGTGTAAATGAGGTATTGCAAATTCAAAAGCCTAAAGAGGCCAGTTAAATGATGAGATGCATGAGGGCAGCTGTGATAAGGAAAACAGACACCCAGCATTTGGGTCAGAATGCCACAAAGATGATAACTGTGTGGGAGGTCAGTGTGAGCACTGTCCAAGGAGGGGCTGCAGGTCAGCCCCAACCCTCTGGTCAGAGCAATGAGGGCCTCGGGTTAACGGTTCTGCTGAATTTTTCAAGAGTGACTTGAAGCTCAGAATTCTTAATAGGAAATCTTTTATTTATTTATTTATTTATTTTTTTAATTGCATTTTAGGTTTTGGGGTACATGTGAAGAACATGCAAGATTGTTGCATAGGCACACGCATGGCAGTGTGATTTGCTGCCTTCCTCCCCTTCACCTATATCTGGCATTTCTCCCCATCCTATCTCTCCCCAACTCTTAATTTTTATATGTTAGCAACTACACTCAGAAAACCAAAGAAAACAGATGTGGGAATTACATTCGGTCTTTGGGCCACAGAAGTATGTTAAATAAAATCATACGCTCATGTAGCCCAGTCTGATCCACCAAGTCAAATGTGGACTTCATTTCTCACTGCCAGCTAAAATACTGTTGCAGTCAGAATTATTAAAGGGTGATCCACATTTTCTAATCATCCCATTCATTTTTGAAAAATCCTTTTCAGGAACTAGATAAATGAACGACTTTGACCTGTTTCCTATAAGAGACATAGTAGTGCCTGGCTTGGGTTACAGGCCTAAAATGTGTAAGTCAACACTAACAAAAACAAACTACAGCAATAAAAACACTACTAAACATTTGCCACACTTTCATTTCACAAAGTGTTTTCAAGTACATCCTGAAAATGAGGAAAGCAGCCAGGAGACTTGGTGAAGTTCATTCATCCACCTGCAACGAAACCACCGCTCAGCATAGGTGTCCCATCCATCATCAGTTTCAGGAAGAGGCAGGAATTCCCTCCAAGTCTCCTGAGTAATCCTAACTATAAATTTTGTCCCCCAAAATTCTATATTCCAGATTAACAGGACACCTGGGGTCTCACCAAATTTAAATCTTACAGTATATTGCAATATGCATTTTCATAAGAAAAATAGGTATTTTTACTTACCTGTAGTTTTGAAAGATCTTCTGTGTAATTTTTATCAGCTGATGAATCAGATGATATTAAGACGTGAACCCATGGATAAATTAAGCCATAATGACTACAGGCATTTATCTAAAACATAAGAGAATTTCTCATAAACAAAATATAACAACAAAAGCTTGCTTATCCATTCCACAAAGAGCAAGCAATCATTCATTCTCTGCCATGTCATAGAATTAGGTACACACTTCCCTGGGAATGGAAAGGAAAGGATTTTTTTAGAATGTATTTCCCTGGAAAATATTTCAGTCTTGCTTGCTTCTACACTAAATACTAAAATTTAAATACTCCAAAGAGGCACTTTCCAGCAAAAACAGCAATATTGCATTTAAGCCAGTTATACCTAAAAAGAATATTGGAAATAATTTTTATTAATACTACTTTCTTTAGAAGGCAAAATATCTTCCACAAATTCTCAAGACAATTCCCAAGAAGCCCCTCTCATTCAAAATGCTAATAACTTTTCCACTTAATCCTTATTAGTCATGGCTAAGAATCTGGGAGAGAAATGGGCTGGGAGCAAGAAGGGTAGAAAGAAGGGTACAAAGAGTTGTTACTGGCTGCCTCGTGCCACAGAACAGCTGCCGTATGTGCAACTGACAGGAAACAGAGGCCCACTAAGGAAGTCTCCCTCCCACAGCCTTCTGCAGTTCCTCTCCTACCAAGGAGGTCTGCAGATGTCTTCTCTCTTATGTACTACTTAATTATCCTCTGCTGAGGAAGGACACAGATGTGGTGATGTTCTGGAAGAAATCCCTTCCTCCATGCTTTAGCAACTGAGCTACCACTGCAAGTAAGTGAGGGACATTCTTTTTTTTTTTTTTTTTGAGACGGAGTTTCACTCTTGTTACCCAGGCTGGAGTGCAATGGCGCAATCTCGGCTCACCGCGACCTCCGCGTCCTGGGTTCAGGCAATTCTCCTGCCTCAGCCTCCTGAGTCGCTGGGATTACAGGCATGCGCCACCATGCCCAGCTGATTTTTTGTATTTGTAGTAGAGACGGGGTTTCACCATGTTGACCAGGATGGTCTCGATCTCTTGACCTCGTGATCCACCCGCCTCGGCCTCCCAAAGTACTGGGATTACAGGCATAAGCCACCGCGCCCGGCCCTTTTTGGCTCATTGAAATCTCCACCTCCTGGGTTCAAGAAATTCTCATGCCTCAACTCCTGTGCAGTTGGAGCAGCTGGGACTACAAATGCATGCCACCATATCCAGCTAATTTTTTATATTTTTAGGTTTCACCATGTTGGCCAGGCTGGTCTCAAACTCCTGATCTCAGGTAATCCACCTGCCTCACCTCCCAAAGTACTGGGATTACAGGCATGAGCCACAGCACCTGGCTGACATTCTTTAGGGTACAAAATTATTTAAAATGTAGGTCACTTCAGTCATAGACAAATTTTACTTGTATTTTTAACTCCTGCGTAAATAAGATACCTGGTAATAGAAAACTAGGTTAGATTTTATAATAAATTATTAAAAATAAGACGGTACGTTTTTGTAATGGGTAATGTATGAGTTAAATTTAAGGTATTATTCCATTATCTTACCAGATCCTCTGATGTTCTTAATGGTGTGGTGTCAGGAGGCTGCCTCTTAGACAATCTCCAGATGTACTGTGATGTGAGCTTGAAAAAGAGTTCCTGAAGTAACACATCTGGGAGACATGCCACTATCTGAGCTTCCCAAAAGTCTACCAAGAGCTGAGGTGTTGTATCTTCATCCTTAGCACAAAGCACCTTGAAAACAGTAAAAGAAGCCTATATATTACAGATAAATACAGCACTGATAAAGCAACAGCTGGGCTGAATATCATATCATCACATGGGCCATGTAATTAATAATTTACCATTAGCATTAGTGCCATGGCAAAAGCAAATTTAGGCATTTTAAAAGGAAACAGATTCTAGGTTGTACAAATAAAGTTTTTCCAGATGTAGTCTTTTAATACTTTTATCTTATGAACTGATTATGTATTTCTGTTTTTTCAATAAACAAATGAAAAACTCACTTCTCTTATTCTGTCCCTCTCTACCACCAATTTTATGAGGCAATCCAGAAAAATCACATTTTCAAAGTGGCAAACCTTAAAAAAGGAATCTGCTTCTTCAATTCCAATTTTGTTGTTCTTCTGCAAGCCCAGAACTGAAGCCACAAGCAATCCAGGCTGAGTCTCCTTTAGGTAAAGTGCAAGCTCAGTTGGAACAATCTGTCCCTTTTTCTGTTGAATCAACAGCCGAGGTTCCAGAATGAAGCCACATACAAACTTCATCTTCAGATAAAAAAGAAATTTAGAAACAAAAGGTAAATTACATTTAGACTGTCCATCTTAGAAATACTAAACATGCTAGTGCATTCACAATGCATGATTAAGCTATTAATAATTTAATCACAATTTTTTCTTTAGCCTTTGACTAAAGGCTAGTTCTTATGCAAAGACACCACTGACTGTCTTATAGAAGGTACTGGTCAGGTGCAGTGGCCCATGCCTGTAATCCCAACACTTTGGGATGCCAAATCAGGTGGATCACCTAAGGTCGGGAGCTCGAGACCAGCCTGACCAACATGAAGAAACTCCATCTCTACTAAAAATACAAAATTAGCCAGGTGTGGTGGCACATGACTGTAATCCCAGCTACTCGGGAGGCTAAGGCAGAAGAACTGCTTGAACCCAGGAGACAGAGGTTGTGAGGAGCTGAGATCATACCATTGTACTCCAGCCTGGGCAAAAAGAGCAAAACTCCATCTCAAAAAAAAAGGGAAAAAGTTACTAATATTTAAGACTCAAGACGTCCTATTTTTTGTAGAGAGCTTTATATTTAGGTCTAGTTGATTTGAAAATAGAGTCAATCTTCCATATCCGTGGGTTCCACATCCATGGAGTCTACCAACCACAGATGAAAAATATTCAGGACGACTGGGCGCGGTAGCTCATGTCTGTAATCTCAGCATTTTGGGAGGCTGAGGCAGGCAGATCACTTGAGATCAGGAGTTCAAGACCAGCCTGGCCAATATGGTGAAACCCTGTCTCTATGAAAAATACAAAAATTAGCCAGGCACGGTGGTGCGTGTCTGTAATCACAGCCACTTGGGAGGCTGAGGAAGGAGAATCGCTTGAACCCAGGAGGTGGAGGTTGCAGTGAGCTGAGACCATGTCACTGTGCTCCAGCCTGGGCCACAGAATGAGGCTCTGTGTCAAAAAAAAAAAAAAAAAAAAGAATAAAAAAAAAAAAGCTGCTTCTGTTCTGAACATGTACAGATTTTTTTTTATTATTCCCTAAACAATGCAGTATTAACAACTATGTTCACAGCAGTTGACATTATATTACGTATTATAGGTAATGTAGAGATGATCCGAAGTATATTGGAGAAGCTACATAGGTAATATGCAAATACTATGCCACTTCATATAAGGAACTTGAGCTTCTGTGGATTTTGGTATCTGTAGAGAGTTCTGAAACCAATCTCCCATACATTCTGAGTGATGGTTAATATATCTTAAGTTAGTTTCAAAATTATGAAGAGAAAATTCATTTTTCTAGAATTCTACTCTTCAAAACAGAAGACATCCCAATGTTGATTTGCTCTCATCATAACAAAGCCTGTCCATGTCATTTGTTCGGCGATAAAGCACTTATGTTCTTCCTTTTTTAGCAACCCAAGTCATACTGTGGGCTTTGGCACAATCTGGCAACAAAACAGTGCAGGAGCACAGGTTCTGAAGTCAGGCTGCCTGGTTCAATTCTGGCTGTACCACTCACCAGCTGTGTGATCCTGATGAGTTCCTTAACCTCTCTGTGTCTCATCTGTATAACAGCTTCTACCTTGTAGCATTATTGTTAAGAATTAAATAATATATGCAAGGAGCTTAGCATAGCCCTGGTAAATAATAAGTGTTCAATTACCCTACCTCTTATTTTCTTCCCTTAAATGATGAACACCTTTGGTAGTGTCCCTAAATGACCTCTTTTCCAAGGGAAAGCCTGTCTTTCTTGGTACAGCATTCAAATGTCCAATGCTCCATAAAATCATCCGTGATTTTCCGAAGTGGGGGCTATTCCTGCAACTACTAGACTCCTAAAGCTCATGGCTAATATCCCCTTTTCTGTACTTAAATATATATTACTTGGTTCTTTTTCAGTACCACACCATAACCCTCATGCCAGATCACATTATCCCTTTGGAGCAGAGCCTGTTCTTCAGTACCAAGCTCAGTGCTCTGAACACACCTGACACTAAGCTGAAGTACTTGGATATCCACTGCTGCCATTTATCAATCTTATTTCTTTTTATTTTGCCAGATCCAAAGTCCCACTTGGATCATTTTGTTTCTAATACTGCCTATTTTCCATTACAACTAAGAACATATGAGCTAGAAAGAAGCCAGAAGACAGCTAAACACGTCAGGATTACCAGGTCCTATTTCAGCCTTCTGTTAACACTGGGCAGGGCACCATACCTCTGAATGGCTTTTCATTTCATTTCTGTGCATGTCAAGATCTCCCATTTTCAGAGCCACTGCTGCCTTGGTCAATGTCACTAAGATTGATGAAAACCCAGAAGTATCCAGCTTCCTTAGATAGCTCATGGCAGTTAAAGGATTAATATTCTTCATAGAAGGACTACAGAGAATATGGGGCACTTGCTTTGGCTCAGCCACATAAAACATCTGAACCACTTTTGCTGCTAATTCCTTTGGTGAGCATGAAGAAATAAAAGGAATAAAAGGTCAGTCAGCCAGAAGAAAGCAACAAAATCAACAAAACATATATGTGCAAAAAGCCAAGATACAAACATTCCAAGTAAGATAAAATTATAGGATTATGTTTTAATTTTAAAAAGACAAAACCGATACTGATACATGAGAGGCCTGAGATAACCTGAAGTGATCTCCTTTGCTGATTATAATGAAGAAAAAGCAAAAGTATGTACCAGGTTATTACCAGCATTTCTAATTTTAACACTTCAGAAGAAAATAAATATCTGATTAATTTACAACAAAAATCCATCACAGAAACTACTTAGTTCAAAATATATCCAATTAAGTAATCTATATGAGAAAACTTCATTTCTCTCAAAACCTTGCAAGATTTGATACCACAATTTCCAATCCGGCATATTTGCATCCAACTATGTTTAAAATACATGAGGGGTTAAAAATAATCTTTTCTTTTCTCTCTAAGACAGGGTTTTTCTGTATTGCCCAGGGTGGAATGCAGTGGTGTGACTGTGGCTCCCTGCAGCCTGAAATTCCTGGGCTCAAACAATCCTCCTGCCTCAGCCTCCTGAGTAGTGGAACTACAGGTGCATGCCATTAAGCCCAACTAATTTTTTAATTTTTTGTAGAGATAGGGTCTTGCTATATTGCCTAGGCTGGTTTCACATTTCGGGCTTCAAGTGGTCCTCCCACCTCGACCTCCCAAAGTGCTGGAATTACAGATATTAGCTACTGTGCCCAGTCCTAAAAACAATCCTTAATAATGTCTTAAGGTCACTGGGCTAAGGCCAGAGTTTTGTAAGTGAAGTATCGGACACTTGGAGTAAGAGACAACTAGGGTTTTGGGAAGGACTACAGATGAGAAGATGGAAGGCAAGGCCCGCATTCTATGTAGCTCTTCTGAGGATGTGCTGCTGTCACTGGGCAGGTGTTGAGACTACAATAGACCATATGTCCCTGTCTGTATAATGAGAAAGCATGAGAAGATTACCCATAAGTTCTTTTCCAAGCTATACTACCATCTTCATTAATGTAGAAAAGGGTGCATTTCTTTTTTAGAAAAAGAATAATATCAAAGAAGAAAAATATTTGGAACCTTATTTATAAACAGTACTCCATAAAATAAATCTCTAAAATTAAAAGTTAAAAATATTAGATATAAAATAGAAAACCATAATCACTTCACTTAATTCTTCATCCAGGTTTTCATAAAGTGAATGATTAATATAAAAGATTAATCCCTTCTCATATTTCTGTAATCCATCTTCTACCGTCCAGTCCATGCGGCCCAGAACTTCAGCCATAGACAAACCGGACATCTTATAGTATGGCAAGGTGAGATGAGAATGCTGGGAGTCAAGCCTAAAGGGAAGGAAATTTTTAAAATCTGAAATTCGTCATTTTTTTTTTTAAAAGACGGAGTCTCATTATGTTGTCCAGACTGATCTCAAACTCCTGACCTCATGTGACCATCCTACCTCAGCCTCCCAAAGTGCTGAGATTCCAGGTGAGAGCCACCACGCATAGTCAAATTTGTAATTTTTAAACCTGGATATCTAACACATTCTATAATAGAATATATCATGCTTTCCAGAAGACATGAATTCCAAAATGCTTTTCTACTGCCATTAGTAACTGAAACAAACTCCTAAGTTTTATTTTACAAAGTTCTAATTCATGCAGTTTCTTTTTGTCTGCTTACGATAGAAATGAAAATAACAATTTCTAATATTCATGATCAGACTCTAAAATAATGGTGTTTATAGGAGGAAAAGTCTGTTTTATTAATTTTTAATCATTCATGTGGATCAAGTAAGTCTGAAAACAATCATATGCAAAAAAATTTGTAAACGTTACTCTCAAAAATAAAAACACTATTTATACTAGTGTCCTTTTCTGACATCATAAAAGCACTGACTACTAAGATTAAAATCACAGACTGTCTAACTGGCACCTCTCCCTTAAGCTAACAGACAATAGACTAGTTGTACAGCTATATCAGGGATTTTCAAAGCCTGAGAAAAATGTCAAAGTCCTAAGTTAAGTGGTGGGAAAATCACAAACTTGAGACTTACTGCTCATCTTCTAAACTGTGACTCCCTAGAAGCAGGAAATGGGTCACATTCACTTTTGTATGGAAGTCTAGCACAGTACCTAACAGCATGTGTGCTCAATAAATGCTTGTGGAAGAAGTGAATAAATGAACTACCTCACCTCATGCATTCCTCCATTTATCAGAGATGGAAAAGCAAACAAGTGCACCCAAAGTTCAAGATGGCTTC